AAAATAGATGGTCCGCCCACAGGTGAAAGGTCCATTTGCAAGTTAAAGGGAATGGCCAGGGCTTATGCTTTGGAGACCCTTCAGAATTTTTTAATGGGTTTGTGTGCCTAACCTGCAGTCGTCTTCAAAGTACAATTTTTGTTTCTGTTTTTGATTTGGTTTTGAGGCCGAGTCCCACTGTGTAATTGAGGCTGGCCTTAAACTCACTCTAGCAGAAGTTGGCCTGAAACTCACAGCAATCCTCCTGCTTCAGGGTCATCACGAGTGCTGATATTACAGGCGTGTACCACCACTTGCAGAGTAATTAAAAAGTTTAAAATTACACTTTTCTTCTCTTGTTTCTACCTACTTTTATTTATTTTATCCTCTCCCAATACATCCTTGTTCTCACAATACCACTCAGCAATGAGAAAAGCTGAACTATCAATGCATATAGCAACATGTATGGATTTCCAGTGAATTATGCTGAATGGAAAAGAAAAATGCCAGTTCCAAAAGGTTACATGCTTAGAGTTACATTATATAACATTTTGTAATGACAGAATTTTAGTATGAGTGGTTGCCCAAAGTTAGACAGGCAAAGTGATTTTCAAAAGACAATCATACCGTGATCCTTGTTAAGTCACCCTACATTCCTTCCTTGCAGGGGAAACTGCCTCTAAGCAGTCTCATTTCAATATCTAAGTTCTAGCCCTGTAGCCATAACCAGGCAACACTTTCACACTCTCTGCAGTCTTCCTCCTTTACATTTGATGAATTTAATCAAGTTATAGCTATACTTAAAAAAGACTTGTTTGCTTTTTCCACCAGAGCCATATTGGAATCATGATTTCATCTCCTCATAGTTGGGCATATTGGCCAATAATTATAATATACTTTGAATAATATGTTGAATGAAAGACATGATAGTACCTTTGGAAAGTCAATTTTTCAGAAACAATCTAAATTTTAAACATTTTCTGATCTATCATTTCATGTATTGGTAACATTTTCTATACAGATGACCTTTAAGAAAAATGCCAACTGCACCAAAATATGTGCAGTGATAGTTTGGTTCACAAACTCAAATTGTCTATGATTTTGGAAACAGTGGCCATGGCTGAAATTGTGCAGGAGGGATGGTTGTGGTGGTGTTTGTCTCCTGAAGCAGAGTTTGCAAACAAAAACAGACTTTGCTAAACTGTTTCATTCACTAACAAAATTGTTGGCAAACAAAAGCATTCATGAATCAAGCCACCACTGTGTAGCAGGGCCCCTGGCACAACCATTCCTAATAGCAAGATACCACATGCAACAAAATTTTTTATTTATACAGAATTGCTCATAAGAGCTTATCTTCCTGATGAAGGAATAGAAAATTATTTCTTTAACAACACACAAAAAGTGCTGGTCATAAAGGAAAGACAACCAAATGTGGCTACCTTTAAATTAAGAAGTTCTGTATCTTATCTGTGATTTAAACTACTAGCTAATTTTTCAGTTCAGATGTAGTATTTTTTAGCTCTAACAGTTCCATTTGGCTTTTATTTTTAATATTTTAAATGCTCTTCCTAATTTCATTCATATTTTCTTTAAATTCTTGAGAAAATAAAATTCAGATAACAGGTATCTTAAAGTTTTTGTCTACTAATTTCATTGTGTCTATCATATCTGTATCTATTTCTACTGGCTGATTTTTCTCTTAGTTGCCAGTTACAACTTGTTGGTTTTTCATGTTCCCCCCAAATACTGAATGAATGGTGAACACTTTATTGTTGACTAGTTGAATGGTACTGTCCATCTTTAAGGAATGTTGAAATTTGGCAGATATCTAAGCTACTTTACCTCACCCTAACCCATTTGAGGTTATTATTTCAGTTTGTTGGGATGAGTCTAGGGCAGTCTTTGCTCTGGGCATTCAGCAGCACAGATGCTAAGGTCTGAGCCTCGTGCAGTCTCTACTGAGTGTCCCTAGACTCAGTGAGGTCCCTCTCTGTGGATGGCTGACATTCAAATATCTGCAGGTATCGTGTGAGCTCTGAGGGTTGTTGATTTTAGAGCTTTCAGGCTTTTGTTCTGCTGAATCTGCTGGAAATCTACCCTGTGCCCATGCAAATTATCATTCAGCAGAAGCCTAAAAGCAATCACTGTGCAGATTGCTGGAAATCTTTCTTTGCATAACTTCATCCTAGATAACAAGATATAGCAAATTTTCTCCAAAGAGTTAGTTAATAAATGTTTTGGAGATCACACATGGTTTCTGATGCATATTTTTCTTAATTCTTTAAAATCTGTATAAGTTATATTCTTATCATGGGCCTGTACAAAACTAGACTATATGTTGAAATGGTCAAAAGCTATAGTATCTCAAGCCCTGGTCTATGTAGTTTTTTGTTCTTGTTGTTTTCATTGTTGCTTTGCTTTATTGTTTTATTTTGACTCAAGGTCTCACTAGGTAGCACAGGCTGGCCTTGAACTCATCGTGTAGCCCAGGCTAACCTCAGACCTGAAGTAATCCTCCAGCTTCAGCCTCCCAAATGCTGAGATTACAGGTGTGCCCCTCCACGCCCCGCTCTGGTCTACAGTTTTCAGACCTGCAAACTCAAGATGCCCTCTTGAACTCGTCTCTGCTGTCTTAACTTAGTGATAGCGCTGTGTTGTTTGGGTTTCCCTCCACGTGCCATCCTAAAGTTGCCCCCACAGGAGAAGCTAATGTAAAACTTGCTTCCCTTCTTTCTGGGATCACAGTGCTCCTCTGCCTATTATCCTGAGGCCTGGAAAGTTACTTATGTTATCTGTTTGGTGTTCTGGTTCTGTAGAGTAGGAAAGCAAGGTGTGTGCTAACTGTTCCTTCGTGGCCCTGATGTAGTCATAACACAAAGATGACTACAGGACAAAAGACGTTTACACCTGGGGCCTTAACATGTTTCTCATCAACCCTATCAAAACTGCTGCACTTCAAAGTGATTCTTGCTAAAATCTGTGATTCCTCACAGGGACCTACAGATGGTTGATAAGTAACTCAAAGTAGAACAAAGCTTGACCTTCGTTCTGTGCAACAGGCTCAAATACTACCCAGCTGTGCATATAGGCACGTTAGTCATTTAGAGAGTGCTGGTGTAAAAGTTGGCAAAGCAAAATTAGTCCAAACTTACCTAGTCTTGACTCATCACAGAGCCAAAACTGAGGACACCAGGACCTGAGACCTAGAGGACCTTCAGCTCTGCCCTGGATCTCCAGTGCCCTGAACCTATGATGCCCTGGATCCCAGCAGAGCCTCCAGGAATTGCCCCTCAAGCCATGAGAGTCCCTGTGGAGCAATGCACCCAGGACTGAGATCATGACTGATGGCCCCCACCCATCACAATGCCATGTAATACTGCTCTCCAACCTTTGCACAGCAGGCCAGTCTGATCTTCCTCATCACACTGTATTCTATCTTCTCTAACTGCTCAAGCTGGAAACCTTTTATTTTTTTACTCTTCTTTACCAGCCAGCTTAATTTTTCTCTGCTTCTCAAGGTAAAAGTCCCTTCTTTTTTTCTTTACAATGGAAGATTTTTAATGCCAATCTGTTCTTTTCTTTTAATTTCTATTATCAGAAAAAGCAGGGACCCATGCTAGTTGGTGACAGCCCTACTGTCATTTGAAAGACTTTTAAAAAGATAACACAATAATGCTTAGACTGATTTCTATATCTCTTGAGGTAATGAAATTTCCACATCATCAC